ATTTTATGAGAAATAGTCTGTATTTCTCATTTTTTTTATTCTTTTGCGTAAACTAAAATTCATGCCAATATTTTTCCATGATTTGTAATAATTGGAGTAATGCAAATGAATATTTTCTAAAAAAAGTCGGTTTTTAGTGAAATTTTGCCGGGAATGGGGCTTTAACATTAATGTCTTTTACTATTTAACTTATAATCAGTCCATAAAAGCCAATTTCTATGGAATACACAAATGGCAAACTTTGAAAAACTTGCGATTAGTTACATTTGCATTCAGTTAGATTCTGTACATTTACATGGATGTCAAGGGTTCGCATCAAATGGTGGCCTGTATGGTTCTTGAGCAAAATTTATTGCGAAGTTGAGAACTCATGACATCGTATTATTATTAAGACCAACTTACTACAAGAAAGTTTTTAAACCATTGATTCTTTGCTGATGATACTCTTAATTTCCCAGTTAATCATCTTAAAATCTTCATTTTTAAGTTTGTAGTGGCGACCACCATGACCCAATAGCTGTGGAGCCGAAACAATGCATATTATGTCTTGCAATGGTATCCAGCATTCATTGTATGTGTTTTGTTGCCAAGATAGAGTGTTGGATGTTCTTTCTTATACACATCTAGATGTGTATAAGAGACAGGTACACATCATTCTCCTCATCTGACCGCTCGGTGACCATACCAATGTACCACTCACTGTCATAAATGCAAGCAATATAACATCCAGGTTGACATTCATTGGCCACTATTTGATTGCTTACACCTGCATGGACACTGTTGATGGTAACAACATCACAATGCTGATCACTGGATAATCGTCGCATTTCAATATTTCCACCATCAGTTGGTATGAAGCTGTGGTGTGACCTGGTTCCTGCAATTGTTTTGGATGATGCAAACCTGTCACTAAGGTTATACTTCTCTGCATTGGCTTGAATGTCATCACTACTAACATATAGAAATTTAATTCCGGTGATGTTCCCATCAGCCCACTCAAACATCTGCAGTGGACTGAGAATTTGGTTGTCAACAGTAGCTTGGAGGCTTGCTCTGGCAACCAGCCTTTTTGTGGTACCCCCTAAGCCATCACACAGGCTCTTTCCATGACTGGTTGCGAAGAAATGCCATTCAGCAATAAGTCCATGATCAGATGAATGGTGACAGAGATTTGATATATTTTTGTGATTTTTATATTGGCTTGCAGCCCCATCACTGTAATATATGCATTTCCGCAAGCCTGGAATCTGATCCTTGATGTAAGGAATCAAGTGAGAGATGAAAGCATGGACGGCTGTAGTATCATGCTTCATACAATCTGAAATCATGACAATGCTTTAATGCACTTCAGTTCTCCTTCCACATTATGATATACTGCAAATGGATGCACTGTGGCTTGACTATTATCCCAGTAATAGCCCTGTATAGCATCTTGAACGAGGAAACTGTAGTTTTCAGCAAAATCTAATAAGATGATAGCTGTGTCTGGTTGTAAGGATTGCATTAATGATTGCAGGTAGGAAGACTGTGATTTGGTGATGAAGTGATGGCTCCGTAAACAATCAACAGCATTACAAACTCTTTCAATATAATTTACTTTCAAGACCCATGTTTAAAATAAAAAATAGTTACCATTGGTATATGCAAACTTGTATGAAATATTAATGTTAAATTGTTTAATTATTGCATTCATCACTTTATATTGCCATATTATGACTGCAGAAATGCCACATTTAAACCCTGTCACATTACCTTGAAGGAGTTGAGTAGC